ACCACATCGGACACTAGTTTATTCGAAATATACAAAATAATAGAAACTTAATTACAATATACATCTATTTACACTATTATATACTACAGAGTGTATAAAAAATGTCCCCAATGGAAAATCCTCTCCAAACTACTCTCGGTTACAAAAACTATCCCAAATTTTGCATGATTTAGGGGAAATGATCCATTTGGGACATTTTTTGATACACCCTGTATGTGTGCATTACTCAACTAAAGGTATTGCAGAAATAAAAAAATCAGGGGTTACCGGTAACACCATGCAGGGACAAGACCAAAGACAGGGGCGGACATATCGATTTTGACTGGGAGGGTGTAATCACGAAATGAGATCGACCCACCACTGAAATGTGAATCCAGACCGACTCTTGCTGAGTTCGTGTGTTGCAATAAAATTGAGTACAAAGCATGGAAATTGATGGCATTTATTAGGAATTTTGCAAGAACACGTACAGTTTACTGTGAAATGTTGTAAGTGTCCGTGCTTAGTCAGGTTTGACCACGAATTAGCGATTTCGTCAAGATCGATCGTGTCTGTTAGATCGCGCTCACACGCAAGAGTCAAGAGTTCACCAAGGCGTTCCTGGTTCATTACTGAACGCATAACAGTATTCACTGATTTCAGCTTTGAAAAGCTGCGCTCGGCTGATGCGGAACTGTCAGGCACGTAACTATAGGATTTTTGATTGACCGAGACACTTCTGGGGGGTCTGGGGGCATGCTCCCCCAGAAAATTTTTGATTTTCTAAGGCTTAGAAACGCTATTTTCTGCATTCAGGGAGCAGTTCAAACGAAAAATCAATTTCATAAACAGTGACACAATGACTATAATTTTATACTGTAATTTGCCCCCAATCTTGAGGCTAAGAATTACAAATATTTTTGGTCGAACACCATTGATCAGGTGCAAAATATAAAAGTGTTTGTGCTCAATTGTTGTAATATTTGGGCGCCGGCCCGCACTTTTGTTATTGGGGTACTTGTGCACCCATACAGCCTCCCATTTCTTACGTCACTGTAGGGCAAGAATAATGCTTCTTTACTGCATAGAGAGAACTACAGTCTGTAATTGAACTTGAACTCGATTGACTCGTATACCTAGTTATGGGCCTGACTGTAAGCAACAATTGGAAACATCGCCTAGTCAGTGGAAACAATTTTTCGCTCCGTGATTTCAGATAAACCAGTGCGTCGTTCACTGATCGAATTTCTTGATTGCAGTAGGCACATAAAACTTTTTGGTAACAAAATGCATATGCATATCGTGTTACATATCTTTGCATCTTAAAAAATATAGTTTATAGGGACCGGAGAAATATTGTAACTAATGCTAGCTATTTTGATTGAGATTCATCGCATTTTGGAGTCTGATTTTGGGGGTTTGAAATTTTCGCTAATATAGAAGACATAGAATATCACCCGTGAATGACCTTGCAGAACCTAAATTCCAAATAAAAGTCCCAACACGTAATCGTGACATATCTCTCCATGTTTGCAAAGTAAATGGAAACTTCATCACTTTGCGCGTGTTTTGACTAATAATTCGTTCATAAACTCGCGAAATAAGTACGTAATATTTCTTCATATTATTTCTGAGCTGTTTGAGCAAATTTCCAACTCAATGCTCAATAGTTTGAGTCTATCTCGAGTTTCGAAAATATTCAATTTGCTTCGCAAAGCACTGCATGTAAACAAACGCATAATTTTGAGACCGACTGCACGTAGTTTGAGACCGACTGGATCATTTCTCTGGGGGGTTGGGGGTTGGGGGTGAACCCCCCCCACATTTATGCCCCTGACTAAAGATTAAAATGAAGAAATGCATATAATATCATTACTAAAATATTAAAAACAAATACTGTATGTTTGACTCTCTTAACAGTTCTCCTGCTTCTCCAGTTCACATTGAATCTTTTTCTTGCATGCCATTCTTTCGTCTTTAATTTTCTGGCTTATGGCACTAGCTCCTTATAGCCGGTTTGTCAGCTGCCAGGTAAACATGGCTTACATTGTCTAAGGAAGAAATAAAAACAAAAATACTTTATTAGGTTTACAAAAATTATACTTGGAAATAAGAGACCTTGTTTATATTTACTATAGTTACTCTGAGTGTATATCCACACCGGGCAGGCTTAAAAAATATGCCTGGCTACGGTGGGATTCGAACCTACGACCTTTGGAATACTAGCCCAATGCTCTTCCAACTGAGCTAAGCAGTCAGGTCGGTTCGAGTATGCGATATTTCGGAACTGAGTCTAGTTCCTTCGATATCAGTGTAATCTAATAATCATGAAATCTGCTGTGTTGGTGTAATGTACTCAGGTGAATAAGATGTTTGTGTGATGTTACTCTGAGTGTATATCCACAATGGGTAGGTTTGAAAAATATGCCTGGCCAGGCATATTTTTCAAGCCTGCCCGGTGTGTATAGATTTCAATGTAATTATCGTCACTCATCTGGGTTGTTGAATCCCTGTCGCTGCCTTCAATAATAATTACCTGTCTAATAATAAGCCCATAGGCTTATACATGAAGGGGCTTATATTTGGAATGTCCTGACTGTTGAATGTAGTGGGCTTAAACAGGTGGGAAATTTGTCATCGCTGACCAAAAAATCGCGGGCAGAAACAAAGCTCATTGCATTTTACATAAAAAACAAAGCAGAGAGTTAGCAAGAAGCTGTTTTAGCTGACGATTTTTAGCTTTCCATTGAAATGATTACAACTTAATGGTTATTCTTTTAAAAATCGATCATGGTTTCCTTGTTTTGGGATGATTTTTTTCGCAATCGTGTGAGTGGAAGAGTAAATATGCCGACGTGAACATGGAAGCAAATACCGTATACGTCGAGGTATGGCTTGCTTAAAACCGTAATCAACGACGAAAAACGTGATATGAGAATGAAATGTAAGTTGAAATTAATTTTATATACCTCAAATATTACATCCTATGTTTCTTAATGTAACTTCAGCGGTTTAAGTTCAAAATACAAGCTCGCGAAATTCGACGAGTTTTGAAAATATGTAAAAATAGCTTGTTTTTGAACTGTATTTTTTTTAAAAATGGCCCGTGGCCTCAATTCCAAATATAGCTAAATAAAAAGAAAATCCTTTTTGGCGTTTAATGGTATCAAACATACAGTCATATGGGGCTCATAATGTTTGAGCTAAGTCTTTGTGACCCAGTTGCTTCGCACGTGCTGTGGTCAAATTTTTGCCAATAATCAAAGGTCGAAAGGTGAACTTCCTTCATGAAAACCGCCTCGAGAAGGGTCTAGTTCGAAAATTTAGCTCTTAAATTCCATTGCATGAGCATATTTTGGTTAGACGTTAAATATTTTTCTGCTTGATGAGATTCAAAATTTGCGATATATTCATGCCCGGCTTCAGTGTAATTTTGGTGATGACCGGCAAAGAAATGAATATATTTTAAAAACTGGCCGTGGCCTCACGATAACACTTTCTAAAAATGTTCTCTGTTTCATGTATTTTTATTTGATATCTTAGGTATAAGCGTAAAAATAGGGGCTCATACAGTTTACGAGGTTGTAAAATGCATGACTTGCCTCTATTTTCATGTGATTACTGTACATTTCAGACAGGAAAGTGTCATTCCATTTAATGTCCACCCTCCCCCCCCTCCCCCATTTTTAATATGAAGGGTGACCCCAAAGTTGTTCCCGAGAAGTTAAGCCTGTCGGCATCCTTTGTTCTCTGGGATTTTTCTGAGGGGTAAGGGAAAATTTACAAATTTTTGAGGGGGTTTTGTGTTGGCACTTCAATGTGTTTTTCCTAGTATTAACATTTTACTGACCTCATCCACAGGGGAGGGGTGTGTGGATATTAGATGGAATAGGCCAAAGTAGCAACCGTTTCAGATCGAATGCAGTGCAACAGTCAACAGTGTAATGAACTAGAATGCCACTAAAAATTCTGTATGAACAATTCATATCATGCATGTCTATTTTCAACATAAAACAGTCATTTGTTTATTCATTTATTTTTGTACTAAACATTTGGCAATATTTACACAAATTGTCTATAAATATTTATAATTTAAAAAAATAATGAAATTATTTGATAGCATTTGTACACAACGTTTACCATTATTTAAAAAATATCATTATTACCATTTGAAATGATGGTTTATTCTGATAGTCAATATTGCAATTAAATTAATTAATTAATGTATATATTTCATGGCTGAAGAATAGCAAGATTGCAACCACGAAGTGAGGTGTTCCAATAACGATGCACCATTCCTGATAAGTAGGCCACAAATTCGTCAACATTTCTGGAGGTTGACCTTGCAATTAGGGCACCATGTGTCCCGTGCTGATGGCTGTCCATTAGCACAAGCTTTCCATCCTTTATGTATATAAGCATTGCCTTGTCTGGAGGAACAATCAAGACACCAAACACTTGTTGTCCACTGTGTGCTAAACTTTGTAACTTTGCACTTAGCTCCTCAACCAAGAAAAATCCCTCATCCTCAATTATATTGATGCCAATGTTCATAGATTTTAGCACTTCAACAACCTCTTTTACCTCTAGATTTGGCTGGCATGGATCAACGTCAAACAATCCGTACAAAGTTTTGCCATCTTTCATTGTGTTTGAAAAAGTCGTAATGATTTCTGAAAGATTTGTGAATGAAGATAGGAAAGCCAGGTCATTATTACTTGCTTGTATGGCTCCTAAAACAGATATTACTGTGCAAGCATTGCTTCCTGAAATTTGGCCAAATGATGTCGACTGTGAAATATTGGATGGAAGCAGCCACTCTGTCACCCCTGGGTAAGTGTTTTCAACTGTTACTGAAAGTGTCTGGGCATGTATGGGACTCTTGTATGTGTTGAGTCTTTGTTGGCAGTGGTCATTGTTTTTGGTATGCCATGAACATAAACATGATTCACTTGTGCTGACACATAAGGAATTCGGGCACATAGTACACTTTGCCTGGCTTTTGCGGCAGGAATGACCTTTTATTGGGTGTGGCAAGTTTTGCAATGAGGTGGTTTGCATGGTTCAGCTGCGATATGTTTTCTTTGTTCTTGTGTGGAATGGATTTCTGAAGGAGCAGATGGAGCTAAGTTGGTTATTCTGGCTTTCATTTCAGTTACACTTTCACTTATTTGATCATCATTTGTTGTTGGGACAATGGGACAATTCTCCATGGCAACCTCTTCATCCTCATTATCTGCATCATTTAAATCAGCTGTATTGCCAAAAAGAATTGCTTCTTTTGCAACGTTTCCAAGTTCCTCAACTTTCTTGTTAATTGCTTCTTTACATAATGGACATGCTGCACTGTCCATACAAATATTGTGAAAGGAGTGCCAACAGCCAGTGAGAACTGACCAGTCTTCATTGTCATCATCAACTTTGCATGCTGGTAAATCACACTTTGTATTTTCATTTGATGGAGTGTCACTGAGAAAACTCATTGGGAGAATGTTTTCTTTCATCATCTTGTTCCAAAATAGTTGAGGCATGGTTACTTTAACTTTTCCATTTTCCTTTTTTGGGTAGTGCAGTGTGGTACTTGACTGATTTTTTATGATCTCTTCCAATGTGGTAGTTAAAAATTCAGAACTCTTTATCTTCAGGTATTTCAATTGACCATGTGAGAAAGCGAAATGCTTTGGGGGTGTAAAATTTAAACGGAAATTTGCTTGTTTGGTCTTGGACACAAAGATGCTTTTGACTTTGTTAACAAGTTGAGCTGCTGTGTCGGAATGTCTAGTTTGGGCCCTGATGATACTGTGCGTACTTTCAACAGGGTGTTCATCTGAAAGTATTATCCACGCTTTGAGGAGGTTATACATCTCTGGGAACTGTGTTTTCCAATGACTGATCATGGATATCCGGACAAGAATGGCTTTATTGTAGTGCCGTCTTTTTAAGGATGTAAACATAATCCATATTCTCACCATTGCATCAAAGAATTCCTCAAAAAGATTTTGCTTGAATGTTATCGCATAGATGGAAAGGACCAAAGGATGATAATGATCAAGAAGATTCAGAAGTGTTCCACACTGCAAGTTCTTACAATGGTGAAACGTTTGTTTTGTTGTGTCTCGTATTAGTGTCCAATCACCATAAACAACTTCTAATAGCAGACTGATTCTCCATGGCTTAGGTTTTTCAGGAAGCTTTTTGTGTGGAGAAAGGTGCTCATATACTCTTTTGAAAAAAGGATGGAAGTTTAGCAAAACATGTTCCCGGCTATTGATCGAAATGTGAAGAGGGCCAATCATTGGGATGGTGCAGCCAATGGTGGAAGAACTCTAGTTGTTGTAGATGATGATGTACATATTCTCGCCGAATCATGGTTTACCGCTCTGGGAGTTGGGTGAATGTTATCCGTTGTTGTTAGGTCATCATTGTTCCCCAAAGTTTGTGGAGTAAGCATTGACGGTAAGTGGTTTGCAATTGTTTCGTATACTAGCTGCCTACTAAAAAATTGGCATGGCCAGTCACCTGGTTGTATTAACACATATTTTTTCATGTATGCTTTCAACTTCGTTTTCAGGACATGTTCGAATGCACTGGCAAAGTTGTCTTTAGATTTTAGTTGTTGTTCAAAAAAATCCACTAGCTCCAAGTCATCCATTCTTCGCATTGTCCGAATCGATGCACTTTCGCAATACTCGTGAACTGAAATTCTGTTTCTTTCAGATTCTGGCTGAAAGAACTCCCGAGTCATCCAATTTGGCATCGTTGAAGCATATGTGGTTGCCAGTTTTGACATTTGGGTTAAAGACGAAATTACTTGCTGACATCTTAATACATTTAATCCTTGAGGAACGTGTAGTTTATTGATGTCTTGTGAATTTCAACAGCGTTAATATTTCTGAATGCTTTTATAACAATGGTACACATATTGTTAGCTTGTGATGGATTGTTCCCTGTTGGTCGCCTAAAAGTATGGATGTTAGTATAATCGTCTATGATCAGTACCAAAAGCCATTCATTTTCCATTGCTGTAGTTATAAAATCTTCCAATTGCCGATTATGATTGTTAGCAAGTGAGTCAAGGACATTATTTACAGTACGCCTAGTGCATGTGTTTCCCATTTGATGTTGGGTGTCAATTCCCTCTTGGTTAATACGACTGCTATGAAGATATAACCCATGATCGACTTGCAAATTATTGCATTGTTGACTCAAACAGAAACATAATGTGTAAATAACTGATACTATTCTTTTCTTGTTTACAGTAATTCTCCTCTCTGATTGTCGTTCACTAGTAACAGCCGAAAGAAGTGCGTTAAACAGAGTCGGTGCTCCCACGGTAACACAGAATTGTTGAAATTCACCTGGATCATATATAGTTGGTGATTGTGCCACATTGAGCTTTTGATGTAAGGCATTTTTTAGTAGTTCAAGTTCCCTCTTTATATCACACCCTAAAAATATAAATACATGAGTATGCCACCTGCTGTATAGTATAGCTCTTGGCATTTGACTTGCCATGCCCAAAAATTGTAGCAGAAAATAGTGTTATTCACATGGATGGATCCAGCATGACCTGGTAGGGGGGTGCTCTGCCAGCCCTGGTGCCGAGTTGTGTCGGTCATGTGTGCCGCCCGCCCATCAACTTGCTTCACTAATGCAAAGTCCTGCTTGACTACTGTATTTGAATTGCAATTGTTGTTCACAGTTCGCTTATCATCATGTCATTACTCAAATTACTGTATCTCATTTTGTCTCTAATAATTTTTTGCTTTATCATGAAAAATAGCACCCCC